TATATATATATATATATATATATATACAACTCTTCTAGTGCTACTATGTTACATGATTGAGTAATACAAATGAATTTGTCGGTCCAATAAAATTTCCTATTTCACTACTACGGGCCTAGCTCTCGTTGATTGCATCCACAATATTAACTGTGACATCCATGATTTCAAGATTGTGATATCCATTCTGATAGAGAGCTCGACGTACAATGATGGGGCCGCAACACAATTGGTTATTGTCATTAAACATCTACTTATTGGATTGTGTCCTAAGATGTTGATGCGATCAAAAGCCAAGGCTTTTATTCATGCTATATTTTAGTTATCAATGAAGAAGAGGAGAGAGGAATGATTATAAATGGGCCTAGATGCAACACCCATTACCCCAAACAAAACATGGGAGTGAAGAGGATGGTGAGTTGTGGGGAGAAGTTGTGTTTGGTGCATATGTTAAATGAGGATGTCAGGATTTAGATGATGATGGCGGAGGGAGTCAATGAAGATACTCAAATATGCGATATGAATACAAAACATGGGAGTGAAGTAAATCTCTCTACTCATTCTCTCAGCCGTCACCCACCTTACCATTTTGGCATCGTGCGGCGGCAGTGGCTTTTTTTTAGAGCTCATCCTCCCGCATCCGTGCGGCTGCTGAGCGCTCTCGTTCCCGTGCCATTTACTTTCGTGATGCCATCCAAAAGGCTCGTAGTACTTCCTCTGCGCTCCCCATGGATGATGCCAACAACTTCTACTCAGAGATCACCCCAAACACCTTTGAATACTTGATGAGCTTCTACCTTGGCACTCCAAACAAGAAGATCCTTGCCATTGCCGACACAGGCAGTGACCTCATATGGGTCCAATGCGCCCCCTGTAATGAATGCTACCAACAAACTACCCCTCTTTTTGACCCACAAGCTTCTTCTACATACAAAACAATCGCTTGTAATACCGACTCATGCTCGACACTACCACAAAGTAGTTGTGGCGCATCCTCTCAGTGCTATTATCAATATGGATATGGTGACAAGTCAATCGTTGAAGGCTACCTCTCCACGGAGACAATAGGCTTTGACTCTACCGGAGGTCGTCCAGTACAAATCCCTACAACTCTCTTCGGGTGCACCCATCAAAGCAATGGCACATTTGACAAGAATGGTGCTGGCCTTGTTGGCCTCGGTGGAGGAAAGCTATCACTCATCCGCCAACTCGGCTCCACCATTGGCAGCAAGTTTTCCTATTGCCTGCCCTCATCAACCCAAACATCTACAACGAGTCGGCTCAACTTTGGCTCTAATGCAGTCGTTTCTGGTTCCAACGCTGTTACAACACCCTTAATCTCCGGTTCTCCAGACACATTCTACTTCCTTAGTCTCGAGCATATTAGCGTGGCTGGAAAGACGGTCACAGTTGGGAAGCCAATGCAGACAAAGGCGGCCACCCAAGGCAACATCATCATCGACTCTGGCACGACTCTGACACTAATTGATGATAACACACTGCAATCCGTGGAGAGCAATGTGAAGAGCAGTGTTAGCCTTCCTCAAGTCACAGATCCAAATGGTGTCTTCAACCTTTGCTTTGACGTCTCCGGAAATGGTGCTTCTGCTAAATTTCCAGAGATCACCTTCCAATTTTCTGGAGCATCAGTGGTCTTGCAACAGGCCAATGCATTTGTGGAGGCTTCTCAAAATATCGTGTGCCTTGCAATCGTCTCCAGTGGGAGCATTGAGGATTCTATCAACATATTTGGCAATATTGCACAACAGAACTTCAATATTGGCTACGACCTCTCCAACATGCAGCTCACCTTTGCACCGACCAACTGTGCTACACTCTAGACTTAATTATCTTGTAAAAATTATCAACTGGCCATATATCCTCATTTAATTTTACATTGTATGTTGTTGGCTTGTATATTATGATTTCTCTTTAATTTGAATGAAATCTTATGCTCAATTTACCTTTACAAATGTTACATGCATCCATAGTATATTTATTTCACTTGTTATTATTATACTTCTCGGTTGAATCCCTTTATAACATAACATCTCATTTTTTTGGGGAATCCTATAAAAAATTATCTTCATTATATTGCTTCTATTGTAATTTACTTTTATTAAGAGAAAAAAAAGTTCTTCTATGTATTTTGAGCTTTTTAAATTCAATTCTATTAGTATGATAAGATGTATTTAAAGTTCTAAATTTTAAATTATTATTGACATAAGTTATTATTAACATAAGTTTCCAGTAACATTTATCAAATTAGATGTAATACATAAGCCAATATATGTATAAAATAATTGTATCTAACATTTTTTAAGACCACACAAGGTAGTGAATGGAGACGATATCACTTTAGTAAATGTGTACTAATTAATAACAATTCATATGTGTATACAATCAGCCTAAACCCTAAAGATGTCCAAACATGTTCATATGTTATACATTGAGTTAGTTTTCTTTTCAAATTAATTGAAATGTGTTCATAAAAAAAAAATTTAATTTGTACCAAATCTTTCTTTTTGTTGGGCACCATGAACCCTCTGCAATCAATTCAGAATGAATTTTGATCAATGTTTTTAGCATAATCTACAACTTCAAAGTGATATAAATGCAGTGAAAGATATTATACTTACAACATTTTGTTCGACAAAGCTTTAGGAAACTATTTTATTAAGAATTTATTCATTTTTCTAGCCAATTAGTGTGCCAAATACATTTTTATGTGTTTCCAAAAATAAATATTCTTCAAATTCATTTTTCCTCTATATGTTTTATTTGAATTTGATTTTGTTTTCGTTGATGTTTTTCCATTAATTTTAACTGTGTTTTTTGGATTAAAATTTGCACTTTATTTAATTGAATATGTTAATCAAAATATAAGTATGGCAAATACATAAGATTATAGGTAGAAATAATATTGAGACACAAAATTCTTTGACATAGGAGCATAGCCCTAGGAAATGATATTTGTGATTTCATATTGTAAATTATATACTAAAAAATGGTATTATTCTTTTAGTTGCCCATACAAACATAATAGGAGTCTTCTTTGCAAGCCCTCAAAAATTTTATCAATAATTTTCTCAATGATTAATCAAATGTTGCGATTGGATACTCAAAATAACTAATAATTAAGTATTGATAATTAGTTTTTTGATAATTATTTAAAAAAATTGAGCTCATTATCACTTACCTTCCTTTTAAAATATGTAATTTTATTAGTTAATAATTGGGATAATAACCAATACATTAGTTAATTAATGAACCTTTGTATGATTATTAATGAATTAGATTAATTCAAAAAAATTATTTTAGATTTTAACAATTAAAATTTTGATAGTAAAATTTTCATTTTTTTGAAAAAGAATTTTTAGCAAAAATTCATTTTGAGAAATTATTTCTTCCACATTTTTTTCAATATATAAAACTATATTATTCCATTGAACTCCATCCACCATAATAATATCTATTTTTCTTCACAAAAAATAGAATGTTGTTTTTTCTTATATAATAGAAAAAGAGCATAAGATTGATCTCTTAAAAAATAATTAAGCGTGTACTAAACATAATAGAATAAAAATAACTTTAGTGTACAAACTAAAGCTTTTGTAAAAAATTTGGAGCTTCCCTTCAACATAATATTACTAAACAAAATATTGTTGTCTCACTATTGCATGCTTGTTGACAATTTGAGAGAAAATTCAATATGAATGCAAGGTATTTATAACAGGTTACCAAACTTTATGTTCCTTTACATAATGTTGTAAATTATCAATCACTTCGAGAAATTTATGCTCAAGGAGTAGTCTCATAAACCCTTATAATGTATGCTCAAGTAAGAATAATAGGGTGTGAAGGGTTGAGAAGGACTTTGATTGGAGATTGAGCTAGTAACAATGCATTAGATTGAGAAAACACGTAATCTTTCTTGCTCCATAGTTTCTTTAATAATCTTAGAACTGATGGTTTATAATGATTATCAGGAGTCTCAATGCACTGTGATTGGTCCCATCCAAAGAGCAAATTATGCATCAAACCCCCCAACGAGGTAGTCAATATCTCTTTCAATATTAAAATCTTGAATCTTGATAATATTTAAATTATAATATTTTTATCAAAATTTTCACTAATACGATTTAATTAGGAAATTTGATTCACCTAATGAGAACAAGGAGTATTTTAATGTTTACATAAATAAAATTAAAACTAAGTAATGTTATTTAATTCTAAAAGTGTTAGATGAGGACTTTAACAATAAAACACAATCTCATTCTTTTGCTCATTAAAATGAGTATATAAGTGAGGGGCATCTCATTTCTTCTATGTATTTTGAGCTTTTTAAATTCAATTCTATTAGTATGATAAGATGTATTTAAAGTTCTAAATTGTATATTATTATTGACATAAGTTTCGAGTAACATTTATCAAATTATACGAAATACATGAGCCAATATATCTATAAAATAAAATGTATAATTGTAGCTAACATTTTATCACTTTAGTAAATGTGTATCACTTTAGTAAATGTGTATTAATTAATAACAATTCATATGTGTATACAATCAATATAAGCATAAAAATGTGCACACATGTGCATATACAATCAATGTATTTTTAATTTAATTTGTACCAAATCTCTTTCTTTTTGTTGGGCGCCATGAACCCTCCGCAATCAATTCAGGATGAATTTCGATCAATGTTTTTAGCATAATCTACAACTTCAAAGTGACATAAATGCAATGAAAGGTATCATATTTACAACATTTTGTTTGGCAAAGCTTTAGAAAAATTTTTCTGAAAGACATCTCATTTTTAGCTTCTAAAGAGAAGAACACAAACTACTTTGTCAAGGATTTAGTCATTTTATTAGTCTCTTATGCTCAATTAGGTGTGCTTTTTTTCCATACAATATCTCTTTTTATGTGTTTCCAAAAATAAATACTCATCAAATTCATTTTTTTTTCTCTATATGTTTTATTTGAATTTGATTTTGTTTCTTTGATGTATTTTCATTAACTTTAATAGTGTTTTTTTTTATTTTAATTTGCATTTTATTTAATTGAATATGTTAATCAAAATGTAGTATGGCAAATACATAAGATTATTGGTAGAAATACAATTGACACATCCAAAATTCTTTGACATAGGAGCACAACTCTAGGAAATGATATTTTTGATTTCATATTGTATATTAAGAAATGGTATTATTCTTTCAGTTGCCCTAAAAAATTCTATCAAAAATTTTCTCAATGATTAATCAAATATTGTGATTGGATACTCTGAATAACTAGTTTTATGATAATTATACAAAAATTGAACTCGTTATCACTTATCTTCCTTTTAAAATATGTAATTTTACTAATTAATAATTGGATAGTAACCAAGAGATTACTTAATTAGTGGTTATTTGTATGATTATTAATGAATTAGATTAATTCAAGAAAAATATTTAAGATTTTAATAAAATTTGGATAGTAAAATTATAATTTTTTTTAAAAAGAAGGTTTAGCAAAACATCATTTTGGAAAATTTCTTCTTCCACATTTCTTCAATATAGAAAATTATATTGTTACATTAAAGTCCATCTGCCATAACAATGTCTATTTTTCCTTTCAAAGAATAGATTATTATTTTTCTTTATATAATAGAATAGGAGCATAATATTGATCTTTTAAAAAATAATTAAGAGTGTACTAAATATAATGAAATAAAAATATTTTTAGTGTACAAGCTAAAGCTTTTTTAAAAAAACATTAGAGCTTCACTTCAATATAATTGCTAAATGTGGTCCTTTGTTGTCTCACCATTGCATGGTTGTTGAAAATTTTAGAGAAAATTTAGTATGGATTCAAAGTATTTATAACAGGTTGCCCAACTGAATGTTCTTTTACGTAATGTTTTAAATCATCGATCACTTTGAGAAATTCAAGCTTAATGAGTGCTCTCTTAAACCCATGTAATGTATGCTTGAGTAAGAATAATAGTGTGTGAAGACTTTAGAAGAGATTTGATTGGAGATTCACATAATAACAATGCATTAAATTGAGAAGCTTGTAATCTTTCATGTTCCATAGTTTCTTAATACTCTTAGAACTGATGGTTCTAGAAGCTGCCTCCTTTCAAAATCCAATTGAATGAATTTTCGTATCCATTAACTATTTCCCACATTTTTACCAAGGGTTTCCTCAAACACCTCTTAAAAAATTCATCAAAATTCATTGAATCATCAAATAACTACTTCTGACACTTAAGCTCAGGGTACTGAGTGCTTAGGTGCGGCTCTCTCTGTTTAACTGGCGTGTAAGCGCCAGTTCTAGGAACTTAGACGCCTCAGTTCAATTTCACACCTTCTTCATTTTTGCTCCAAGTTTGATACTTTTTCACTCCTTACACCATTTTTATTTTTTCATTAAAAATTTCAATGGTAAAGAAAAATTTCTGAAAGAAAAACACACAAATACCTTTCGTTAAAGCATAATATCTCAAAAAATAGGTATAAAAATGTGTACATAATGACTATATATTTTAGGTGTATCAAAATTCCTCAAAAATAAAATGTTACTTGTCCTCAAGTGACACTCCAATTCTTTAAAACCAAAATAAGTAGATTATGTAAATGAGTTTCTTTAGGATATTCTAAAATTTTGATCTAGAAATGTAGTTGTCCAATTTAGAAAAAACTTTAGTATATGAGACCAACTTATAGTTTAGAAATTTTTAATGTAAAGATGTCTGAAAAAATGAGTTCCTATCTAGTTTAGAAATATTGTAAATTCTCCAAATATAAAGTTTAAGCATTCTATCTTCTCCACTTAAAAATATTCATTAAGAATAA